GATATGAGTGGCAAAGTACACGGGCAAAGGTCTGCAGAGCACACGCTGAAGGAGGCCTGACACCCGCTTTAAGGACACTGATTGCTATTAGCTTACACTGAAAAACTTTTTTTCTTTGTAAAAGCATGCTATAGAGACACCAGATATGAGTGGCAAAGTACACGGGCAGAGGTCTGCAGAGAACACGCTGAAGGAGGCCTGACACCCGCTTTAAGGACACTGACTGCTATTAGCTTACACTGAAAAACTTTTTTTCTTTGTAAAAGCACGTTATAGAGACACCAGATATGAGTGGCAAAGTACACGGGCAAAGGTCTGCAGAGCACACGCTGAAGGAGGCCTGACACCGGCTTTAAGGACACTGACTGCTATTAGCTTACACTGAAAAACTTTTTTTTCTTTGTAAAAGCACGCTATAGAGACACCAGATATGAGTGGCAAAGTATTAACGGGCAGTTGTCTGCAGAGCACAATTTTTCGAAGGAGGCCCTGACACCCGCATTTCAAGGACACTGACTGCTATTAGCTTACACCTCGAAAACTTTTTTTTCTTTGTAAAAGCACGCTTATAGAGACAATTCAGATAAAGGAAAGTGGCAAAAGTACACGGGCAAAGGTCTGCAGAGCACACGCTGAAGAGGCCTGACACCCGCTTTAAGGACACTGACTGCTATTAGCTTACACTGAAAAACTTTTTTTCTTTGTAAAAGCACGCTTTAGAGACACCAGATATGAGTGGCAAAGTACACGGCAGAGGTCTGCAGAGCACACGCTGAAGGAGGCCTGACACCCGCTTTAAGGACAATGACTGCTATTAGCTTCCACTGAAAAACTTTTTTTCTTTGTAAAAACACGCTATAGAGACACCAGAGATGAGTGGCAAAGTACATGGGCAGAGGTCTGCAGAGCTCACGCTGAAGGAGGCCTGACACCCGCTTTAAGGACACTGACTGCTATTAGCTTACACTGAAAAACTTTTTTTCTTTGTAAAAGCACGCTACAGAGACACCAGATATGAGTGGCAAAGTACACGGGCAAAGGTCTGCAGAGCACACGCTGAAGGAGGCCTGACACCCGCTTTAAGGACACTGACTGCTATTAGCTTACACTGAAAAAAAAATTTCTTTGTAAAAGCACGCTATAGAGACACCAGATATAAGTGGCAAAGTACACGGGCAGAGGTCTGCAGAGCACACGCTGAAGGAGGCCTGACACCCAGACGCTTGCAGACAACTAACTGCTATTCAATCTATTACAGTGAAAAAAAGTTTTTTGTTTTTAAATGCAAGCTATTGTGACACCAGTGAGTGAGTGGTGGCACTGGGCACAGTATCCACTGTGAGCCTGACACACCCGCTTTAAGGACACTGACTGCCATTCAATCTATAACAGTGAAAAAAGTTTTTTGTTTTTAAATGCAAGCTATTGTGACACAAGTGAGTGAGTGGTGGCACTGGGCACAGTATCCACTGTTAGCCTGACACACCCGCTTTAAGGACACTGACTGCTATTCAATCTATAACAGTGAAAAAAGTTTTTTGTTTTTAAATGCAAGCTATTGTGACACCAGATATGAGTAGTGGCACTGACTGGGCAAATGGGCACAGTATCCACTATGAGCCTGACACAGAAGCTGGCAGCAGTGGCAGACAACTAACTGCTATTCAATCTATAACAGTGAAAAAAGTTTTTTGTTTTTAAATGCAAGCTATTGTGACACCAGTGAGTGAGTGGTGGCACTGGGCACAGTATCAACTGTGAGCCTGACACACCCGCTTTAAGGACATTGACTGCTATTCAATCTATAACAGTGAAAAAGTTTATTGTTTTTAAATGCAAGCTATTGTGACACCAGATATGAGTGGTGGCACTGACTGGGCAAATGGGCACAGTATCCACTGTGAGCCTGACACAGAAGCTGGCAGCAGTGGCAGACAACTAACTGCTATTCAATCTATAGCAGTGAAAAAAGTTTTTTGTTTTTAAATGCAAGCTATTGTGACACCAGTGAGTGAGTGGTGGCACTGGGCACAGTATCCACTGTGAGCCTGATACACCCGCTTTGAGACAACTAACTGCTATTCAATCTACAACAGTGAAAAAAGTTTTTTGTTTCTAAATGCAAACTATTATGACACCAGATATGAGTGGCACTGTGAACTGGCAGAGTACACGCTGTAGGGCTGACACACCCGCTTTGAGACAACTAACTGCTATTCAATCTATAACAGTGAAAAAAGTTTTTTGTTTTTAAATGCAAGCTATTGTGACACCAGTGAGTGAGTGGTGGCACTGGGTACAGTATCCACTGTGAGCCTGACACACCCGCTTTAAGGACACTGACTGCTATTCAATCTATAACAGTGAAAAAAGTTTTTTGTTTTTAAATGCAAGCCATTGTGACACCAGATATGAGTGGTGGCACTGACTGGGCAAATGGGCACAGTATCCACTGTGAGCCTGACACAGAAGCTGGCAGCAGTGGCAGACAACTAACTGCTATTCAATCTATAACAGTGAAAAAAGTTTTTTGTTTTTAAATGCAAGCTGTTGTGACACCAGTGAGTGAGTCGTGGCACTGGGCACAGTATCCACTGTGAGCCTGACACAGAAGCTGGCAGCAGTGGCAGACAACTAACTGCAATTACATTACACAGAAAAAAAAAAGCAGACATATTCTAGCCCTTAAAAGGGCTTTTTGGGGTGCTGTCCTTACAGCGGAGATCAGATGAGTCCTTCAGGACTGTAGTGGACACTGTATACCCTAACCTAGCTATGCATTTCCCTATCTAATCAACAGCAGCTACACTTTCCCTCCTCTCACTAAGCATGCAGCTTGAGAATGAATCTAAAATATATGCTGTCCAGTAGGTGGGAGGGTCTGCTAGGGAGGGTGTGCTGCTAATTGGCTGGAATGTGTCTGCTGACTGTGAGGTACAGGGTCAAAGTTTACTCAATGATGACGAATAGGGGGCGGATCGAACCGCGCATGTGTTCGCCGTCCGCGGCGGACGCGAACACGCTATGTTCCCCGGGAACTGTTCGCCAGTGAACCGTTCGGTGCATCACTATATAGGAACTCAGATCACTTTAGCTCAATGAAGTGGTCTGGGTGCCAGGTCCCTCTAGTTTTAACCCTGCAGCTGAAAACATAGCAGTTTCAGAGAAACTGCCATGTTTCACTGAGGGTTAATCCAGCCTCTAGTAGCTGTCTCACTGACAGCCGCTAGAGGCACTTCTGCGATTCGAAGACGCTAGACGTCCATAGGAAAGCATTGAGTAATACTTTCCTATGGGCGGTTTGAATGCACCGCATGCGCATTCGGAGCTGAGAGGCGGATTTGGGTGGAGAGATCCCCAGCGCCAAGGGAGCCCGGTGCTGGAGAAAGGTAAGTGCTGAAAGTAGTATGGTGGGGTGATGCTGAGGGTGGTGGGGGGGTGAGGCTGAGGGTGGTGGGGAGTGAGGCTGAGGGTGGTGGGTGGTGAGGCTGAGGAAAACATTGAGTAATACTTTCCTATGGGCGGTTTGAATGCACCGCATCCGCATTCGGAGCTGAGAGGCGGATTTGGGTGGAGAGATCCCCAGCGCCAAGGGAGCCCAGTGCTGGAGAAAGGTAAGTGCTGAAAGGGTTTTAACCACACACACACACACTCACGAAGAGCCGCATACACACTAGCTAACAGACACACACATTTACTGACAGACACACACTCAATGACAGACATACATACATACACACTCACTTACAAAACATACAATCTCACTGATAAACACACACTCACTAACAGACACACACAAACTAACACGCTCAGTAACAGACACACACAGTAACACACTCACTGACACACACACAGTAACACACACACACACTGACACACATACTCATATTTTTATTTATTATTTAATCCCCAGCCTCCTACCTTTGGGAGAGCTGAGGGGATTCCCTGGGGTTCAGTGGGGCTGCTGGGCGGCCGGTGACGGCAGGTGGCAAGGGAGCACTGATGCTCCTGTTCAGCTTCATCCTCGCACGCCGCTTACTGATGCCGGAGCCAGAATGA